CCCCAATACACAAAGGAAATTGCTTTTATTGGGACCAGTTAAGCATATTCATCAAAAAAGGGACAGGCCTTTACATATAGAGGCTGGGTCATTCTAGCATAGGCACAATAAGGAGTCATGATTTATCATATATCACATGTATAGAAAATGGTGGATAAGCTCCACCTGGGCAGGAGCTTAATTAGTATTATAATTAAGTAGGGTCAGTGTTTCTTTTAGGCATCCTTATCCAATAGGAACAGAGTGTTATTGCCTTGTGGTCAGCCTTTCAGAGAACATCCTTGTTCTGCAAGACAGCTCAGCAAAGATTTAGTTTCATAACTCAGCAACCCCTTTAACCCTATTCTGCTTACACTTACAGTCATTAGTTGTTTCCAGACCTTTCCTTTCCACTACATTAAAAGCTTTTAGAGGATATCCTCTGTGCTTAGCGCATGGTAGGTATTCTATAAAATTTTATGGAACAAATATAATTTTATGGAAATAAAATTTTATGGAAAAAATATAAATGGTAGGTATTCTATAAAATTTTATGGAACAAATATAATTTTATGGAAATAAAATTTTATGGAAAAAATATAAATGGTAGGTATTCTATAAAATTTTATGGAACAAATATAATTTTATGGAAATAAAATTTTATGGAAAAAATATAAATGGTAGGTATTCTATAAAATTTTATGGAACAAATATAATTTTATGGAAATAAAATTTTATGGAAAAAATATAAATGGTAGGTATTCTATAAAATTTTATGGAACAAATATAATTTTATGGAAATAAAATTTTATGGAAAAAATATAAATGGTAGGTATTCTATAAAATTTTATGGAACAAATATAATTTTATGGAAATAAAATTTTATGGAAAAAATATAAATGGTAGGTATTCTATAAAATTTTATGGAACAAATATAATTTTATGGAAATAAAATTTTATGGAAAAAATATAAATGGTAGGTATTCTATAAAATTTTATGGAACAAATATAATTTTATGGAAATAAAATTTTATGGAAAAAATATAAATGGTAGGTATTCTATAAAATTTTATGGAACAAATATAATTTTATGGAAATAAAATTTTATGGAAAAAATATAAATGGTAGGTATTCTATAAAATTTTATGGAACAAATATAATTTTATGGAAATAAAATTTTATGGAAAAAATATAAATGGTAGGTATTCTATAAAATTTTATGGAACAAATATAATTTTATGGAAATAAAATTTTATGGAAAAAATATAAATGGTAGGTATTCTATAAAATTTTATGGAACAAATATAATTTTATGGAAATAAAATTTTATGGAAAAAATATAAATGGTAGGTATTCTATAAAATTTTATGGAACAAATATAATTTTATGGAAATAAAATTTTATGGAAAAAATATAAATGGTAGGTATTCTATAAAATTTTATGGAACAAATATAATTTTATGGAAATAAAATTTTATGGAAAAAATATAAATGGTAGGTATTCTATAAAATTTTATGGAACAAATATAATTTTATGGAAATAAAATTTTATGGAAAAAATATAAATGGTAGGTATTCTATAAAATTTTATGGAACAAATATAATTTTATGGAAATAAAATTTTATGGAAAAAATATAAATGGTAGGTATTCTATAAAATTTTATGGAACAAATATAATTTTATGGAAATAAAATTTTATGGAAAAAATATAAATGGTAGGTATTCTATAAAATTTTATGGAACAAATATTAATGAATGTTCAGCCCTTACCATTCCTGTCTTCATGGACTTTAAAAAATATATATATTTTTGAAGATGTGACCTGATAGTATGTTGAATGTGTATGTATTGCTGCGAAGACTGTTTTGGAAACAGCTGTATCCTGGCATGTTTTTAGGATCAGGTGACCAACAGGGACAATACACTATGGGATCTCAGGCCCCTTCTGACCCTGAGATTCTGTGACCTTTTGATTTCACTTGAGAGAGTTTGTGTTGTTTGGGGGAACAAGCCCTATAGAATCTAAGAACCTTCATGTACGAGTGTCTTTGTTAAGCCCTATCAGAAAATTTGTTTATCAAAGTGACTTTTTTCATTTACCTAAAATTTCACAAAGTAACCTTTAAAAAATATAGTTAATTACTGAAATGCATGTTATTAAAGTAAGACATCAGCAAAAATGGCAGAATGAGGACCTCGGAAAATTCTATCCATAATAGCAATGAAAAAACTGACAAAAATGGTCAGAATCAAAATTTTCAGAATGTTTGATTAATTTCTAGACATTAATCAAATGCTTACAACAATCTGGGGAGTATTTATTCCAGAAAATCAGCTGCATTTTGGTAAGGATAGTGAGCTTTGGTGTGTTTTCACTTGTCCTTCGCCCATCTCTTTCACTCCAACCCTGCCGTGCAATCATAGAGAAAGCCAGCAGGCAGCCTGACAGCCCCAGGAAGACACAGAATGAGGTTGGAGCTTCTATAATCCCTCATTTCCATAAAATTGTCATTGATCTGTCTAGTGTTTCCCCCAGAAGATCCTACTTGCAGGACCATATTTGTTTGCCATGACTTTGAGCTATAGAAGGCCTTTCTCCAGCGGCTTTTTAAGAAAACGGAGACAATCAATTAACTTCACAGCAGCCTGAGGCTATAGATAACGAAAAAGCCTAAAAGGAAAAAAGCTGGCTAATAACATGTCCATCAAGACCTTGAAAAATTAGAATTTTTAGAAAACTACGTGCTCACGGCTGTGTGCATTCACAGAGTTGTGCACATGCTCAGGAACGACTATGAGAAGGCCCTAAGCTCTTGGCCGACCCTGAGCTCTGCACATGCAGAAAAGGAAGACTAAGGCAGAGTTTTCGACCACCTCGCTGAGTGTGGAAGGCATACCTATGCAACATGTTCACAGAGCTTTTTGGCCACACTGGGAAACTTTCTGGTTCCAGTTTAAGGAAATCTTTGCTCAGTTACTAGCTGACCACTAAGTTAACCCAGCAGAGACTTCAGTGCAATAATTATTGAAGTAAAATGGAGCAGGCCTGTTGTCCATTAGACCTTGTAGAAGCTAATTCTCGGTCCACTGGGCTGCAGTGTTTGTAGCTCTGCTCTATAGTCCCTATCTCTTTAAACAGGATGAAAGGGTAGGGAACTTATGTGGGGCTGCTGTCTTGTTTGTTAATTTTAAGGCAAGACAAAAGTAGTTTATGAAAAAATTATTAAAAAAGATTGCTGGTACAGTAGTTCACCCTTATCTGCAGGGGATAGATTCTAAGAGCCGCCCCCCCTGCCCCCCGCAGTGGATTCCTGAAAGCACGGATAGTACTTATCCCTATACATACATGTTTTTTCCTATTGTACATACCTATGATAAATTTTAATTTATAAATTAGGCACAATAAGAGATTAACAACAATAACTAATACTAAAATAGGTCAGTTATAACAATACACTGTAATAAAAGATATGTGAACGTAGTCTCTCTGTCTCAAACTATCTCATTGTATACTGTACTCACCCTTCTTGTGATGATGTGAGATGATTCGGTGCCTACATGATGAGATGAAATAAGGTAAATGAGACATTATTAAGTAAAATAAGAGCTACTTGAACACAAGCACTGCAATACTCCAACAGTCAATCTGATAACCCAGACAGCTACTAAGTGACTAATGGACAGGTAGAATATACAGTGTGGAGACGCTGGACAAAGGGATGATTCATGTCCTGGGCGGGATGGAGTGGAATAATGTAAGATTTCATCATGCTGCTCAGAACAGTGTGCAGTGTAAAACTTATGAATTGTTTATTTCTGGAATTTTTCATTTAATATTTTCCAACTACAGTTGACCGTGGGTAACTGACACAGCGGAAAGCGAATCCTTGGATAAGAGGGCACTACTATAGTCAGAAATGAGTCTGTTGGAAATGTGATTTCACTTCTGCACCTTAACCATGTGTTAGTTTGCTTCTTCATCTCTCTGAATTCTTCTTGAGGAAGACCCATTTCGCTTTCCTCCTCAGACCTCCTTGTATATATACTCTCTCCATTACTTCTCTTTGCTTCTGTAAATCTCATCTTCTGTTCGGGCTTTCATTTGTTTCACCATGTAGCCTCCACTTGGGTTAGCTCTGGCCTGACACACTGCATTCTGGGAGTTTATCTTCTAAGAGAAGAATCAAGAAGAATAAAGACTATAATGACCTTCTTGCTCACCTGAGAGGGGCTGAAGAACAAGAGGAATATTCTTTGGCTACCATTTTGGTGAGAGCTATCCCAAAGGAAGCAGCGCAGTTCTCATAGTCTTTAAGGGGTGGTACTAATTTGACCAGACAGCTGAGCAGTGACTCACTGAGATAGGGTTGGCGATAGAGAAATTTTTTTTTTCGGCCAGTACTAAAAAAAGACCCAAGGCTTATATGCATACATGTTGTACATTCATCCAATGCCATCCTTCCTCGCCCCGACCAGGGGAATGCCAGAGAAGCTGCCTCTTTCCCACACTCCTCTGAAGTTATTTATTTTCTGACTTTCTTTCTCTTTCTAGCTACACTGGATGCTCATTTTAACCTGATTTCACCTTCCTGTGAGAGATAACGAGTAGGGTGGGAAGGTACACAGTGTGATTTATGCCACCTCAATCCACCACCTCCTGGGGATGACCTGACCTGGGTGATCATTTTTAGCCTGGTATTTCCTGAACATGGGCCAGGGGCTGAGATCAGTGACAGAAAGGCTAGGACAGCCCAAGCTCCCTGGCAGATTCAACAGTGATGAGTTTTCATTGGGGAACAAAATGGCTGTCTCATTTCTAACTTCTTTAGGTTTGAAATACTGCTGATTTAATGATTAAAACATCCTGAGGAGAAAGGCTACTTAAATCCTTGAAAGATTGAACTTCTGTAATATGGTTCAAGAAAAGCAGTTTCTAAAATTATACCTTCAAACAAATGATAACTTCAACTTGTACAAATTGTGCAATGTATAACTTTAACCTCCAACTATATATTTTCAGCAGGTGAGCTAGTTTTCATGACCAGATACGACTCATTTATATTTAGGAACATTTATTTCTATGAAAACAGCATGCTCCTGCCTTAGAAAACGAAGCCAAAAGAAAACAATTTGTCTTTCAAGTAAGTTAAACATATCCCACAATGCCAGTTTTACAGGAAACCATTCCCCTGGGGCTTTTAGGGAGTGCTTTGGGAGAATAGTGCAGATACGTGTAGCTGCACAGAAGGGCCCTTACTCTCTCTGAGCTGCCCTCCCCATAGGGGATGGGGAGGCTCTAAGAGCTGAGAGGAGAAAGTAGGTGTTGGGTGTCTTAGCTTTGAATTTAAATATAGTTCTCATAGAAATAACACAATGAACTATGAAATATTCTATCAATTTGATTTTTCTGGTTACAGGTTAAAATAGGGATTTTTTTTGTGTGGGCTGGCTTGGAAACTAATTTACTACTTACAATATTATTTCCCTTAGAAAGTTACTTAAAGAGAACTTTTGAGATAGAATTCTTTCATAAGTCAGTCTTGACTCTTTTAGCAGACCTTATCCCCACAGTTGGTACAAAAGTGAATTTTAACTCATCTTTATTACATGGTCATAAAATCTAAGAGTGTAACCTACGAACTTATGAAGTTTAATTATATTTTATTCAGTTACTTTGTCTTGAGAGATAACCATAGTCATTTGTGAATCCCAAGAACAGGTTATAGTTATCATCAGCCACAAGAACCTTCTTTGCAGAAGTCATATGTAAATGAAATGACAACTACAAAGTACTGTTAAAACATCCAGTCTTCCAGCTAAAATATTACACTTTCGTAGTTGTATAATCTTTACAGTGTATCAAAGCCCCTTCCAAGCCACTGGCCACTATTCTCTGTAGCGAGGGCAAGAGTTAGGTATTCAGGTATTATTGTATCACCTTGATACACCCACCCCAGGAGAAGCTAGATAAGTGGCTATGAACAAAGAAGGCCTCAGGAAAGAAAAGGTTTTTAGGTAACTGCGGCCAAATAATTATTCAGAGGTGGTGCCAAATAGGACCATGATAAAGGGAAGATCCAAAGAGGTACAAGAGAAAATCACTCAATGGAAGGATTTTGCAGCCTTGTGAATGTCTTTGGTCCTCAAAGCAAAGGATTTGCTTCTATTAGATTGGAGCCCATGACCTTTACCTTTTAGGACGAAGGTAAATAAACAGTAAGCCACAGAAGCAAGCCCCCTCTGTTAAATTTTGCTTAAGTTTTTTTTCCTTTTCTTTCAGTTTTATCCAAGTATGAAAACCAGATTACTATTTTCACTGACTACCTAGAAGAATTTCCTGATACTGATGAGCTGGTATGGATCTTGGGGAAACAGCATCTTCTTAAAACAGGTAAGGCTTGGTAGCATTTGTCTGTGAAAACTCAAATGAGGTGGGTGCCTGAGGTTCAGGTCCTATAATTTTTTCCTCCTCAGGTTAGCATAACGTTACCTTAATAACTGTTAATTCTACTTCTAGGCAGATTTACCTTGCAGCCAAAGGAGTTTAAGCCTCAGGCCCTTCACTTGCACAGACCCCTTCCAAGGTCGTGAGAGGCCCTTGTAGCATGTTCAGGTGGTCATAGGTGCTTGTATGATTTGAAAATGTCATATATTTTTATTCTTTTCTCTAAAGGAGAACCCCCAATTTCTATAAGCCTCAGGTTCTAAAAACCATGGTCTCATTCCCGGTACCACTAACCAGTATCTAGTCTTTGATGACAGGGCTACATACATTTTATTCCTCTAATATCCTTTTCTGTCTAGATAAAAAAATGCTGGCACCCAGAGGACTTCTAAACAGCCCATGGCTGTCAGAAACGATATCAGACTCTGAGAAATCTTGTAAATCTTTTACTGACTGTAGTACTGTCTCAGTTTATTCTGATTTTGTATAGAATTTTTGGCCACTGTAGCTAGATGAAAGGGAGGCTTGAATTTTTCTTTCTTACCCTTACATTCTCATAGATTGAGAAAGACCTTTAAACCTAAAACTGCTAATGATCCTGTACCCAGATAAAGACTGAGTTTGGAGAGAAACAGCTCTGATTTTGTATCTGTCTGAGGAGAGGCCCTAGCATGAAGGAGAGATGGGAAGAAACTGGGCAAAAGGTAGGAGAGGAAGTTAGGAATTTTGTAGCTTGTCCTGAATCTGGCTTAATCATTTCGATAGGAGAATCCTGAACAGTGGAGAGCCCAGGGCTAGCAATTAGGAGAATGTTTGTATTCAGACTCTTCTCCTGTCTTAGATAAGTTGCTTTCTCTTTGTGCATCTTAACTCCCTTCACCAGCATATAAAATGAGAGGACTAGAGATGATCTCATCTAGTTCTGCAGTCCATGACAACAGGAACCCCCAGGTTGCCAAACATGCCCATGTTCAAACATTAAGTTGTGAAATGCCTTTCAAAGTGAAATTGTTCAAATTTCTATACAACTCCCCTAGCCTTTCTAGCATATAGACAAGCTGGGAGATGTAGAGAATATCAGAGGAAGGAGTGAGTGGTCTGAACATTTGAGAGAGGCATATATAATAGCAGCTAACATTTATTGCAAGTTTACTGCATACTGTACCATCAAAGCACTTTCCATGTATTATCTTGTTAGCAATCATGGCTCTACGAAGTAGGTGCTATTTTTCTCCCCATTTTACGGATGAGGAAACTGAAGCTCAAGAGGTTAAGCGACAAGGCTACACAGTTGGTAAGTAGCAGAGCCAAGATTCAAACTCAGGCAGAGTATGACTCCAGAAATCTTACTCTTAACAATTATATATCTGCTTCCCAAAATGTGTTAGACACTGTGGACACGAAGGGGAGGAAAGTGCAGACAGTTCAACTTTCTGCTTTGTTCAAAGAAAAAGCAGGAGAGAAAATATATATTATTGGCTAAAATTGAATTTCCTCTTTTTTCTTTTAAAGTGCAATGGCCGTAAGTTCTATACAGAATATAAACATGGATGTGTTGTTGAAAAAGGGGAGAAAGAAGACTAAGAAAAACAGAACCACATCTAAGTACAGATAGGAACGTGGAAGTCATATTCACGACCATCAAAATAAATTTGTCATAACATATAAGGAAGCATGTTTTCAAAGACACAAAAACATTGGTGATGTTTTGCATCCATTTAGATTATAAATACCAGTTGCACTAGGTGGTACTGATATATTTCTTGCACACTTAATTTGCTTAACAGGGACATTTCCTTTTTAGTTAAACATGTGCATGGACACATATGCACACACACAGTTTTAGATAACAGTCAGAGGGTACTGATGACAAATCCAGTCAACTGTCAATCATTTAGGCAGGGGCTGATTGCCTTGCTTTTCCTATTCCTTGTCTTCTGACCATGATGTCAGCGATAGTACCTGCCAGAGCCATAGAGATCAGTGAAAAGGATACAGGAACCACCCAGAATCATTGTACCAGCCAGTAGCTCTCGTCAAAACATGGGTAGGTTAAAATGCTGAAATTATTTGGCAAAAATGAGATTGTGTTTCCTATGAATTTTCCTAGCCTCTTAACAATGGAATTGATTGGTTATTTGGAAATGAGTTTGCTGCTAGCTCAGAAATCAAAGGCAGATACCTGTAGATGGGATATGGTGATTTAATTTGAATTTCACATTTAATTGCAGAAAAATCTAAGCTGTTGTCTGATATAAGTGCTCGTCTATGGTTTACATACAGAAGGAAATTTTCACCAATTGGTAGGTATATAATTTGTTGTACTGTGCTTTCTTCCTTATAGATAGCTTACCTGAAATTATCAGTCACTTCACAGAAACCTCAGAATTAACAGCTCATGATGGTGAAGTATTTGATTTCAGGAAATAGTTAAGTCTTACACTTTATACAAAAGTTTTATTGCCAAGGTACTTCATCATGTATGGCTTCACGATGTTAATGGGCAATGCCAGTATACTTATGAGCTCACCACTAAGTGTTCAGGCACTAGATGATATTACTTGTATTATTTCTGAGAGCAAGGAAAAAGTCAAATAAACTTTTATTTGGGGCAATATTTATTAAATTACAATCTACTGCTTTGTGGAGCTACTTTATTATTAAAGACGATTGTACCTTGAAGGAAAGAACATAATTCTTTTGATTGTTTTTTCCTCTATGAAATTAAAACACTTTGCCACTGGAAGATGAGTTATGATAGGTTTCCTTGGAACTAATTCTCAGCTGATAGAGTACCAACCGCTGTCTAGAAAAAAGGATAGTTCAATAAGCTAAGTGAATAGGCTCCCTTTAGAGAAATTTCGTAAAATGTTTGCAAGCGGGGTGGTGACCTATTCCTAGTATCATGGCCCTGTAGAAAAAGATTACCACACTCACATGGTGGAAGCTATTCTCCTAACAGGAAATCTGTCTGACCAATTTTGGTGCAGCACTAGATCTAGTAGTTGGAATCAGATCAGCCTTTCTGGTAAGTGCCAAAAATGAAGTCCACATGGACATTTTTTGCTCTCCACAGGAAGTACCTGAGCAGTAAAACAAACAAAAGAACAATTTTTAGTACCCAGTGATTCTAAACTGCTAACTTTCTCTGGATTGAGAGGTCTTTGCAAGGCTTGAAAACATTTTCAATTCAACTCTGACAGTGAATTGATGAACTCTTCTTTATGTGGGCTTCATTATATCTTTTCCATACTAATCTGGCCTATAATCCCACCATGAGCAAGAGCCAAAGGACTCCCCTTCCAGTTCACAAGTTGGCTCAACGCTTCCCTTGTTGCTGTAGCAACTCTCCTTTAGTCTCCACAACAAAAGAAAGGGGGCAGCCACTTTGGCTCAGTTGTCTTACAAGGTTGATGACCTCCTTTAAAGTTAGTCTTGTGAGATCATGCTCATAGCATACTTTTCCACCTCCATGTTGGGAAAGGAAAGCAATGAAAGCAGAATGTCTCCTCTGCCATCCAAGTTATCTAATTTCATTGGTACCTCAAAAAAGGGTATTGAGCTCACCCTGGCCACATATGTGGAGTTTTCATTACATCAAGTGTTCTTAAAATGGAACCTGTTGTCTTATTTCATTTAACTGGTTTTGTACCTTTTAAAGATGTAGTACATTTTTAATTTATTAATAGTATTTTTATTGTGACCTTACTCATAACACTAAATATTTACATCATCCTGACTGAGTTGTAGAACACTATTACAGATACTCTCTCATTTAATTCATATAATACCCATTGATAAGGCAGGGTTTGTGCTATTATCCACAGTCTATAGATGAGACTTAGATTGGACAATAGAGACCGGTCTTCTGATACCTAATCTAAGACTCTTTCCTCTATTTTACATCATCCTTCTTGCTGTTCAGTTCTTTAAATGTACATTTAGAATAGTCAAGAGCCTTCCAGAGATTTTTGACCATTTCGATGAGTACCTATGGTAGCATTTATTCCTTAAATAAGGTAAGGCTGGCTTCCCTAAGAAGTGAACTGTGCAAAGCCAGGTTTGGTCAGGCAGATGCTAATATGGCATGGATGAAGTGTTGATGGTCATACATGGCAGTCATCTACCAAAATTGAAGTTTCCAAATAGAAAACATAAGGGGCAGGTCTTGTTCATTTGCTTGTTTTGTTTTTGGCCATAGAACCTATTTTGGTTAACTCAGCATTATCTTTGCAAGTTCTACCCTATAACAAACCCTGTTTGATATCTAGCTGCATCTCTTGCCTCTCTTTTTAGAGTATGTGTGTCTATCTGTCTTGTATGATTTCCAGATATGCTGATGTTTCAGGAAAAGGCAATTTCAGGAGCTCATATTCATTCTCATCCATTTTACCAACAGGGGGAACGGGCCCTTCATCAGATGCTGGCTGGGGATGTATGCTACGCTGTGGACAGATGATGCTGGCTCAAGCCCTTATCTGCAGACACTTGGGGAGGGGTGAGTTAAATTTGTTCTCCAAACTGCTTCAGAGACCTCTGTAGTAACACTGCTGGTGGTTTCACATTGGTGTTGAGCTTAAATAACACTCAGTAACAGAGCTGCCAGGTCCTAAAATGCTCTCTGCAAGCTCAAGTGGTATGGCTGAGAAGTTGACAAAGCCTCTCATAAGAAGGAAACAACCAACATTTCCTTGTGATTCACCAAGCCAGAGAGTTATTTTCCTGGGACAAACCTGAACATTAAGGCAGGTGGTCATTTAGTTTCCATCTTCGCTATTGTTTGAGTGAGTCCTTAAACAGGTCAGATAACAAAGGGAGCAGGAAGAAGGGTGTGGCAGTAAGTCTGTTTCTTGACCTCATTTAAAATATCTGCCTGGTGAAGGATGTAAATGACCTAAAGGAAGTGCCTAATGATGGAGCTGGTGCTATTTTGGCTTGGGTTCATTGAGGATGTCCATTTGATGATGAAGGAATCCTTAAATTAGCTTCCTCAAGAGGCCACTCCATTAAGAACATTCCAGTAATGATTGTTGGAACTCGTGAGATTTTACTTTCTTAACATGTGTGTGCTTCCCTCTGGGCATATGTAGGCTGACCTTGGCTGGATGCCAGGTTAGGCAATTGGCTAAAAGTTTAGTGTGATTTGACGTTGAGGGTTGAAAGAACACCTTGGATTAGATGGGGCTGCTGAACTTATTGGCTGTTGCTCCTGGAAATTCAGAGGGATGGAAACATCACTCCCTTTCCTCACTGTGCAACTCCACATACTCTGCTACAGTTAACAGAGGTGATTGGGGAAGGGTCTGGGGAGATTTGAGGACTTAGTGCCTTCTTTTCAGAGTTTAGGATATCTTGCGCCCACTTCCCCTGAGTAGTATCATAATTTCTGTTTAACAGAGGAGGAAACTGAGGATTACAAAGTAAGGTGACATGCCCAGGGTCAAACAGCAAGAAAGCATAGATTTGGGAATAGAATGCAGGTCTTCTGACTTCTTGTCCAGTGACTTCTCTGTGGTACACATACTTCTTGGAGCAGATCCGGTCTTACAATTTCACTTTTTCTTATTTTTAAAACACTTCACTTCTGGAAGTGAATTTTGTGAAAAGCAAACTGGAAAAAAAAACACAGTCAGCAGTCTTAATTGTTTTAATATAAGAGCAAGTAGCAGGAAGAATTTGGAAATAGATCTTGTGGTGAAGATGAATTAGAAGATGTAATTTTGTAAAGAAGTATTTCAGAGTGTTTCCTATTTGGTTATTTTACAGTTGAGGTGGAGTATTCACTTATCACTGTAATCAGAAAATATCTAGCAATATCTAGCAGCCAGCTGATCAGAATTTCCTCAGACCTGGACAATTTGGTAGCTGATGAAAAACAGTTGAATACAGTTTACCCTCTGAAGGCTGTGCTGAATATGAAGTTTAAAACTTTGATTTCAGAAATACTAGAAGCAAAGAGAATGGAAGACTAGAGATAGTGGTCTTTGGCCTCAAGTGTATTTTGATTGTGAATTCAAACTCTCTCTAAAACCTCAGGAGAGAAAAGAAATTCACGTCTTGTATGCAAAATAATCCTCAGAATTCGGTCCCATTAGACATAGTTCCTAGAGCTGAGGGAATGAAGATAGTGCATCCTGTGCACAGTGGCGATTATGGTGAGTTTTCATAGTTGTCCTCAGTAGGCGGTAAGTAGCCTTTATAGAATTTGGTGGGCTGCGCCTAAGACACGGATGGGATTTTTACAGATGTAATTATTTTGGTTTTGGTTGTAAGGAAACCTTGAACACCTGAAAGCAAAGGTATTTGTTTGTCCAAAGCTCAGTGTAGATTTTTTAAAGGCTGTGTAAAAATGGCAGTGTGCAGTTTTTTTGAAGCTTCCTTAGTTGTCAGTTATGTATATTCTCCTGTGAACTGCTTTGTGTCACAATAGTCCTTCTCCCCATGAGACTCTTTTGGCAATGTTGCTGATATATAAGGACGAAGCTGTTGCTGTCTCTGTGGAGATGACACACTTCTGGGTGATATACAGATATATTGCTGGATTTTGCGATGACCTCCTAGTCACTGAGTAGCTGACCAGAAAGGCCTTTGTGAAACTGTTTTTATGTAATATTTATCCAGCTCCAACCCTGAGGCTAAGTCAATTCCTTGGTCCACTTCTTGTTTTGCTTTTACTTTACACCCACTGAGTCTTTGACAGTAATCAGTTTCCAGATGTCTTTGTCATCAAAATTAAAGACACCCAGGAATGTTCTTAGTTGATCATTCCCACCTTCCAGATATAGCTTCTTTGTTTTCCTTCTAATCTAGTAGTTATAATAAGAGGAGAAGTAACAAGCAATTATAAAAATGACTTAACTAATTTTTTTTTTCACAAAAAGACTGGAACTGGGAGAAACAAAAGGAACAACCCAAAGAATACCAGCGGATCTTACAGTGCTTCTTAGATAGAAAAGATTGTTGCTACTCTATTCATCAAATGGGTAAGGTCACTTTGGTGTTTTAAAGACAACACCTGCTCCTCTTGTCCCCTGCTTTGTATGTGGCTCTGCTAAGTTGTCTGTCTGCTTAATTATTTATGTGAAAAATTAGGAGTTTGTGGCATGCCGGAAGACCTTTTACTAACATGTTTATTTTTTTCCACATGAAAACAGCACAGATGGGCGTAGGAGAAGGGAAATCAATTGGTGAATGGTTTGGACCAAATACAGTTGCACAGGTGTTAAAGTAAGTAAAAGAGTCTGGCATCTGCCTTATTCTACTGTCTCATATGCCTCCCTCCTCTACCAAGTCCCATCAACCTAACTATTCTTCCCATCCTACAAAACCACCCCTCCAACTAAGCCACCAAACATTTATACCATTTTGTTCAGACAGTTCTTTGAAATGTGTAAGTGGTGACACCTGTCTTGGTATATCGAGTTGTATTCATTGGTACCAGTATATGTGGAAGCACCTCAGAACTCATTCAGTATCCCCTCACTCCCACGGATTGTTGCTCATGTGCTAGGGAGCCATTAGCATGAGGGTCTCTTTGAAACCAAACTGTTCATACTAAGTAGGGGAGGCTGAGCCAGCATAGGCAAGACATGGACTCCTAACCTATATAGTATAAAAAAACATTCGTTCATTTATTTGTTCATTAAACATTTACTGGGTGCTTTTACTGTGCTAAGTGCTGGCTGCACAGAAATGAACTATATGCAGCCCTTGCCTCAAGGAACTCATGACTTATTGGAAGAGACACATCCCAAAGGAGTCTTGGAATCAGTCTGTAATCTCTTAACAGACTCCAGACAGCCCAGCATGGCACTTTTGTACTTGTTCTGTTATATCCCAGAACATCTCCCACATCAATAGGCAAGGTGGAGAGGCCAGAACCAGTGTGGAAGTGAATGAGGTGAGTGGCATCAGCACCTATACCTGCAGGCCTCCTCACCTGTTGTCACTCTCCTCCCTGACAACAAATCTCCAGATGAAAACTCCATGAGGGCAGAGCTTATGTTTGCCTTGTTCACTGCTGTAACACTAGCACATAAAACTGCCCGGCACACATAAGTGGCCAAAAAATATTTGATGAATGAATCAAAATGGTAGCCAGAATCTGGAGCTGGGTTTAGGCATCAGGAGACTGAAATCATTGGGCCTCCTTTGGTATAATATGCTTCAGTCTTGGGCTCTCTGGAGCATGGTGGTGGAATCTGCTCCATGCAGAGTACAAATGGGCTACTGAATCAGTTATTAGCCAGTCTTCTATGATCTAGAACACTTTGGAAATGTGCTTGTGAGGGGAGTCATCTGGATTTCCTGGAGACCGAAGTGAAACCTGTGTCTTGGCTTTACTCTTTTCTTACAGTGTAGCCTGTCTGAGACTACTTTCTTACCTTAGTCTGTAGTGTCTTTTGGGGCATCATTGACTCTGCTAAATGAGGATTTGGCAGTATTTCAGGAACCACTGTAGGAACCCATGGTAGAAAGTATAAGATTAGAATGGCTGTGCTGAGCCCGAAACTCAGCTTGAAATGGTTAGTTTTTAAGTGATATCCCTCAGAATGTGTTCTTTTTAAGTGATGAGGTTCCCAACACCAAATAGAAACAAACATTTTAAAAAGAACTGAAGTGGCTTCTGATTCATGGTTATTATTATGATTAACAGCAGTATATTATTATGTCACTATTATTATTTGGGGGAAAGATAGCACATTAAAACGAGTAAAATAAAAGTGTAATAGTACTTAACCTCTTCCTAGGAGCTACTTTGGTTTGGGAGACAATGTTTTATTTTCTGTCCAGTGAGACTGGACTTTACCCAAGAATCCCAGAGTACCAGGTTAAATGTGTTTTCTTTCAAACTGGCAAGAGGAGAAGAAGATAAAGGAGAAATAATCATGGTACTTTGCTTAGACCTCAGAAGCTCTCAAAGAGGTTTTCTTTCTAATCTCCTATGGGGTCATGCAAGTCACCATGCTCTCCTCCTTTAGCTGTTAACCAGGGAAGGCCCAGCACCGAAGGCCATCTGCAGTCCACGTGTCCTTGAACAGCATTCTCACAGCACATGTAGAGGGATGTGAAAGATCACCTCTCTCTCTGTCTCTCTGGATTTTTCCAGGGCTTATTCTCTATATTATCTATACCCCCAAACAACAATAACAACAACAAATTTATATTATGCCAAATGTATATTTTATATATACACCATACATATATAATATATATTTGGTTTATGCCAAATTTACATATATGTGTATATATGTATTATTAAAAAAAATATATATATATATATATGTATACACACACACACACACACACATACATTAAAGACAATTTCCTTTTATTGAAAAAAGCAGTAAGTCCAAATATCTTTTATTTAAGAAAAGAAAACAAAATCTCTTGGGAGTAGATGCGTTGGTAAACTTTTCTGTTTTACCCAAGAGGAGTAACGTCATTTTGTGGGGAAGACTTTTCCATTTTGTAAAGCAGGGCCTCCATTTCAAGGTTCGGAAACTGTGACTCTGCAGCATTCTCTAGGTCCCTGGACACACAATGTTCCAGAGCTCAGTCAAAGGAGCCAGAACTGACCTGATTCTCAGGGTTTGGCAACTTCAGAAACACTGGGTATGGTTTGTACTCCTCCTGCTGATATTTCCATCTTCCCCAATTATGACTTCATTGTATGTTGCTTTGCAGAAAACTTGCTTTATTTGATGAATGGAATTCCTTGGCTGTTTATGTTTCAATGGATAACACAGTGGTCATTGAAGATATCAGTGAGTCCCAGCCTGTTTACCTTCCTGCGTGGTGGGTGATGAGGTCCTTGATCACCACTCAGAAATTGGGGTGAGAGAGAGAGACAGACAGAGAGATAGAGAGAAAGAGACAGAGAGAGGGAGAGAGACGGAGAGAGGGAGAGAGACACAGAGAGAGACAGAGAGCGACAGAGAGGGACACACACACACACGCACACACACACCCTCTAACCTGCCCCACCAGAGCAAAGGAGCTTAGGGGAGCACAAGACTCTGGTTAATCATCCCCTGCACCCCTTTTCTTCTTACCTATCAGCTTTCTGAAAGGGAGAAAACAATTAGATCATCTTTGCTGCTCCTTGGTGAGCTACCAGACCCTCTCCCTGCAGGACACCCAAATTTGGGATAGTCAGTTAAACCACCAACAGATCTTCTGTGGAGGCCGCCCCCTTGTCCAGCCCTGTGCTCCCCACCATGGGGTTAGAAAAACCAAGACTAGTAGTCCCTGTCCCAAAGGCCTTTGCAGACCAGTCGAGAAATGATATTCTCTCAATAAGCGTAACATCTGACAGGAGATAAGGGAGTGCTCAGTACCAGAAGGAAGAGAAGTAAGGGCTGGTGGAGTGGCCTGGGCTTCCTGTGGGAAGTGGGACAAGCAGGGCCCTAGTGGCAGAGAGGAAGGCCTTCCAGGCAAGGGCTGTCAGGTGAGGTCTCCCTTAGTTTTGCTCTTGGCCTGCCTCCTAGGGCTGGATGCCCCTAATTTACTCCGCTCTCTTCTGTTTCTAGAAAAAATGTGTTGCATTCTTCCCTTGAGTGCTGACATAGCCACTGAGAACCCCTCCGGCTCCCCAAATGCTTCCAACCACAGTAAGGGCACTTCTGCTTGCTGCCCGGCCTGGAAACCCCTGCTGCTCATTGTGCCCCTTCGCCTGGGCATAAACCAAATCAATCCTGTCTATGTTGATGCATTCAAAGTAAGTCACTCCTTTTTCCGAGCCCATTGCTGCCTGCCCATCACACCGCCATGTGAGC